TAAGGCAGGTTCAACGTAAGTTTAATTCCGCAATCAATGACGTAGTGCGCGAAGAAGTGGAAAATTATTGGAAGTACCCCTAATGGGTCGCCAACGTGGTCATGGTGAAAAAGAAGAACGACAAGTGGTGGATGTCATAGATTTCACCGACCTAGACAAAGCTTGCCCCAAGGATTCGTTTCCACTACCTCATATCGACTAGCTCATCGATGCAACAACCAAGCATGAGTTGCTGAGTTTCTTGGATGCCTACTCGGGCTACAACCATATTCTTATGGAGGAAGAGGACCAAGAAAAGACCACCTTCATCACCCACCAGGGGACGTACTGCTACAGGGTCATGCCTTTCGGATTGAAAAATGCTGGGGCAACTTACCAAAGGCTGGTAACGAAGATGTTCAAAGAACAACTCAGAAAAAAGATGGAGGTATACATCGACGACATGCTGGTCAAGTCCAAAAAGAAAGAAGATCACATCGACCATTTAAGAGAAGCCTTCGGTATACTCATGCAATACGGCATGAAACTGAACCTCGAGAAATGTGCATTCGACGTGGCCTCAGGGAAATTCTTGGGTTTATTAGTGTCGCAGTGGGGGTATCGAGGTCAATCCTGACCAAATCAAGGCCATCGAGGGTATACCATAGCACTTGACCACCAAAACGCAAGTCTAGAAGCTAACCGATCGTATCACTGCTTTGTCAAGGTTCATCTCGCGATCCTCCGATAGGTGCCGCAAGTTCTTCGGCGTACTCAAAAAGGAGAACGAACTCCAATGGACCCGTGAGTGCATCCACACACTAAAGGAGTTAAAGGTGTATATGTCCTCACCACCGTTACTCTCAAAACCGAAACCAGAACAGGCTCTCCTCGTATATCTTGCCGTGTACGAAATAGTTGTAAGTGCAGTCTTAGTACAAGAAAATAAAGGTATGCGACCATCTATTACATTTACAAGACACTAGTCGACGCCGAGACGAGGTACCCCCATCTTAAAATGCTGGGTCTAGCCTTAGTCGTATCTTCACAGAAGCTTACACCGTATTTCCAATGCCACCCCATCTTAGTCGTCACGACTTTCCCCTTAAGAAGCATTTTACAAAAACCCGAACTTTCGGGCAGATTGGCCAAATGGGCCATCGAACTAAGCGAGCACAATATTACATATCGACCGCGAACAATGATAAAGTCTTAGGTCCTCGCCGACTTCGTCAGTGACTTCAATGCGCACATACTGCCCGAAGTCAAAAAGGAAGTCGTCAACGCTTCTTCCCAAATACATGACCTATGGGTCCTATACACCGACGGTGCATCTAACGCGTCGGGGTTTGGGCTGGGACTCGTACTAGAAGTCCCAACTGGCGAATTGATTCTCCAGTCCATAAGATGTACGAACATGACTAATAACGAGGCCGAGTATGTGGCCGTAATTGCAGGACTAAGACTAGCACTCAAATACGGGGTGAAGCGGCTAAGGTTGTGGTGCAATTCTCAACTCGTGGTCAACCAAGTCACAAGGACTTTCCAAATCAAGAAGCAAAGGTTACAAAAATACTAAATCGAAATCTGCAAACTACTACCCGAGTTCGACGAATGTCAGCTCGACCAGATTCCCCGAGCACAGAATATCGAGGCGGACAACCTCGCCAAATTAGTAGTTGCCACCAAAAACGTCACAACCGGAGACCAAAATGCGGTACCTACTCAACTCGTCGATATTCCAAACCGATGTAAGAAACATAAACCTAACTTGGGACTGGTGCAACTGTATTATTACATATTTGTAGGACGACATACTCCCCAATGATAAAAAAGAGGCCAAGAAACTACGAATGCTAGCGACCAAGTACAACATCGTTCACAATGACCTGTACAAAAGGACATATGGCGGCCCCCTAGCAAAATACTTGGGGAAAAATCAGACGTGACGCGTCCTTGAAGAAGTGCACGAAGGCCACTGTGGATCTCACTCCGGCAATCGAGCTTTGGTCAGGTGCCTCATACGAGCAGGATAATACTGGCCCACCATAAAAAAGGAAGCCGCAAATTTCGTGAAAAAATGTGAGCAATGCCAGAAGTACGCCCCAATGATCCACCAAGCAGGCGAACACCTACACTCAGTAACCTCTCCTTGGTCGTTCATCAAATGGGGAATGGATATCGTGGGCCCCCTCCCGGTCGGACGAGCTAACGTACGATTTCTCTTGGTTTAAACTGATTATTTCTCTAAATGGGTGGAAGCTGGAGCATTCGCCCAAATACACGAACATGAAGTAATCGTCAACATCATATGTCGTTTCAGTCTCTCCAAAGTCGCAATCTTTTTCCCTCACTCATGTTTTGTCCCAATTAGGTTTTCTCGAGGAGGTTTTTAATGAGGCGATGACGGGGATACTTCAGAATTGAAGTGCACACAGACGAAGACACTGGCCGACCAGTATATTTCTCGATCTCTCACTATTTTTCTAACTCGACCAATGAATGGGCTAGATAGATCGGGACTGAACTACCAGCCAGTGCCCGAAAAATATGTAAATCTCTCCAAGAATATGAATAAAGCACAAGTACATGTAGTTTATTTTTGCTCTCCCCAAGCAAAGGTTATATTCGACCTCGTTCGAATTAGCATATATTCGGCGCATGGCCTCAATTAATTAAAGGTTACATTCGACCTCATTCGAGTTAGCACCTATTCGGTCCACGACCTCAATTAATTAAAGGTTACATTAGACCTCGTTCAAATTAGCACATATTTGGCTCACGACCTCAATTAATTAAAGGTTACATTCGATCTCATTCGAATTAGCACCTATTCGCCCCACGAGCTCAATAAATTAAAGGTTAGATTCGACCTCATTCGAATTAATACCTATTCGCCCCACGACCTCAATTAATTAAAGGTTACACTCGATCTCATTCGAATTAACACCTATTCGGCCCACAGCCTAAATTAATTAAAGTTTACACTCGACATCGTTCGAATTAATACCTATTCGGCCCTAACAAACCCGAATAAAGAAAAGGAATCAGGTACGAATACCAACACTAACACTTTATACTTAGAATATGTTTTACAAAGGCTGCACGCCTACCAAAAGTACACACAAGTCTACGACTAAACAAAAAACAACAACTAATCACCGCTTGGCCCAGCAACACTACCAGCTTGATCACCTAGACCGTCTCCACCTATCTACTCCCCATCGCCAGCGGGATATTCATCCTCATAGCAGGCACCGCGTTCAATTCGATCCACACTCGCATCCTCCTCCTCATTGCTGACTTCCAGTGTAGCGGAATCATAGCCACAAGCAAACCGAGATTTACGTACCTTAGCACGAGCGTCCTCGAAGGCTGCTTCTGAAACATCCCCCGTCCCCATCATAACCCTGAATATATCCAGCTGGGCCTCGACGTGAATCCATTCCTCATACAAATCTCGTGGAACATCAGGAAAGGCAGAATTGTGGGACGAGGACGGTTGAGCAAATAACTGCGCCTTTTAGGCCTCAAGAACTGCAACTCGATCACTAAGGCTCAAAGCCTCTTTCTCCAGCTCCCATATCCACTCATCAATATGCTCCTCCCTGATCCTGGCCGTCTCCAAAGCATTCTCTCGCTTAGAACAAAGAACGCGAAGCGCGATCCTGAAAGCCTCCGCCTTTCTCGCAGCCGAAAACTGAGCAAACTCCGCCTTCTCTAAGCCACCCTCCTTATCAGCAACCTCATCACTCAGGGCGTCCATTTTGAGTTGACACTCCTCTAGATCGGCGCACAATGAAACCATTTGGTCTTGAAGATCGGCGCATTGAGCCTCAAACCCCTTGCTCACCTCGAGTTCTTCTTCTTTGTCCCTCAATGCCTCCTCGAGTTCTCTTTATTTTCTGATGACCCTCACCAACTCATCATCCTTCTCCTTCAGTTCGTCATGGAGAGCCCAGAAATTGCTACTCCCACCA